TTTTCTATACATCTCTCTACAAAAAATTAGTTCCTGACTGCCCATCACATACCTGAGGAGCAAAGCCCATAGACATACCGATAGAAAAGAGCCAGATCGTCGACGACGAAAGGATTCCGAGATGGTCCGTTAGAGAAAAGTCACCGATCATTGCACTGAGCATGGATAATGTAGTCGGGACGGCAGCACCCCAAGCATGTGAGCAGTATTCGAGGTTAGGTCTTATCTGGACCTTGTACTGAGTAAGGAGGTGATGTGTACCTAAAGTACTGTGTTTTGGAAGCTTTAAACTGTACCAGATTGTTGCGTCTTCAAGCAGTGATAAGCTCCAGATCTCTCTTCAGAGAAAAAGCCGCTGCAAGTCTTCTTCTCTAACTGGCAAAGACCGGCTAAGCACCGCGTTGCAAAGCTTCTCCGACTATTTTGCATGGTCGTGTTGGTGAAAATGTCCGAACATCCACAAAAAAACTCCCCAGAGCATAATTACGAAAAACGTGGTGGCGAAACCTGAACATGCGTCAAATAAAAACACGCCCTAAGGGAATACTCGGCGTTTTTTCATTCAGCATTCTTTCCACGCTTTCCACGGCAGGGCTGCGACTCGTCGAGATTGGAAAATGTGGAAAAGTAACTCGGGCCGGTTTAAATTCGTGTTAAACGAAGTTTGGGACACGGGGAACGTTATCAAAAACTCGTCAAGAGGCGGGGTATGAAATTTCTGATACACGTTGACTGTCAATTCGAACGGAGAGTCTCATATTTTTGATAATGTGAGAATTTTGACGAAAGCTACCATGAACTTTGTTTGAAGAAGATGCTGTGGCCACTAAATGTGAGGCATGATTAGTAAAAACATCGGGTCACGCGATTCAAATCGTGGTCTTTTGGCAACAACATACCTTTGCAATCAGTAGTCCAATTTTAACTGTTTAAACATCGTTTCACTCCTTTTAAAGAACACATATTCTACGACTACGCATTTTTAAATCAACCAGTAGTTATTTAGATATACTAAGGTCTTCAAGTGCCAATAATTTGCACAGGTGTTGGAATTTAAAACGTTCATTTAGAAGTGTAAGATGGTTGGTAGATAAAGAAATCAATTTCGAACAGTTAAATCTATTGTCCACCACATTCCAAGTATCTGCATCTCGATTCAAGATCAAAATTTAAGAGAACCTAGGTAGCATATTTACTCCAACATAATGATAATAAAACATAACATAACACCAGGTACCGAACTAGTTGTCGGATACGCAGCATTCTGGCCTCCTAAGTTAACCATTATCGATCTAGTAGGCTTCCGTCAAGCTGGGATGTGTCGATTAAACGACCTGGAACGGCAGTGTTTTGTTACGGGAGGAAATTGAAACATCGCCTACTTGATTATTGCCGGCCGATATTAACAATCCAATTTCATCAAACCACAACCCGGGTGTCGATATATCGACTGTCACTCAGTTGACTGGAAATGTGGAGAGTCGAACATCGATGTGAAATGCGGGATTTTCGAGCAATAAACTATTTTTGTGTTTTGTTATGCTCTTATTTAAAACCAAACAGTAGCAGTAAATTTTCTACTCATTTACTATAAGGAGTTAAGAATCTTTCTGACACTATAACGAAAATGGTTGAACCTAGCTCTTATCAACAATAGCTATTTACCTTGCAATGGCCGATTGTGGTAACAGATGGAACTCAAATTCAAAATCTGATAGACGTCAACTTTGCTATGGCTTTCGGCGAGTGAAATAATTCTCTTATGGGATGGGTTAAAAATGGAATCGTTAACAAGTTCTAACCTGCAATCTTCCACAAATATTCTTTAATTCTAAAAGTCTTACTTATTTGGTTTAGATCGTCTTAAACAACAGTTCCGATGAGCTTGCGATCTATGTAAGTTCATTGTTAAATAGTTTGTACTTGATAAGAATACAGTAAAGATTTTCAGTCTTCGATAAAGTCTCATGGAGAAGAAAATTTTACAATAACTAATGTTAAACACAATATAAAAGGAAAATTAACCACAATGTACGGTGATTCGGTACAAACAAAAAACGGTGCATCTACAACTACTTTGCAAATTTTTGTAAATGCTGTGAAGCGTAATTTCGCAAATTTATTCTTTCATACGAACGTTGAGAATGAGAGTGACAATGAGTCGTATCGAAGGGCTTCTAAGATTATTCTCAAAGTTTTGTAATGTATGTAATGTACGAAATTATCCTCCACAGCACCGATTATATCACACAGAAAAACAAAATGCATTCAACTACGCCTACAATCTAAGTGACATGTTATACGCATGATATCGCGTGATTATTCAGTAAGCCAACATTTACTGCTCCGAATAATTCAAATCTCTACCCTTGTGAATAGCTATGATATGTGAGTATTCGCCATCCAAATGTCAAGTCCCATAGCAACCGTTCATTTGACATGCGTATAACTTGTCACTAACACATTAATGATACAGACACCGATAGTGTGATATATTACCGATTAACAGATGTGCTGGTGCTATCGTCAAAGGTGACCTTGTGCTTGGGCCGTTTTTTGAACCAGCAGAAGTATCCGCTGCCGTCTGGAGACTGTTGGTTTGGCTGCCAGAGCCGGCCTCAGCCAGTAGATCTGCTCCTCTTCCTCCTCTATCTATAAGCAATAAAGTCATTGTTTAGAATATGAATTTTTTTTGAAGTATTTAAAATCAATAAACGGTGTGTCCAGAAAGAAATTTGTTAGGATAATTTGTATATGGCCTTATTTTCAGGTACTATAGCGGAAGAGAGTACAGGGTGGGCCATTAAGTTGAGCGGATTTGGAAAAATCATAGAACACATACTACAAAGCGGAGGGATTTAGTAAAGTAGAAACATAAATAACATCATTGAGATCCTCAAGCAGCAATTTAACCTGTGATCTATGTGAGCAGCATCTATATATTGAGTAAATTATGAGGAAGAAAGCACTTGTTAAGAATAAACAAAAACCAAACAATCTGTCGAGATATACGCTAATAGGACTAGGCTTGTCTATAGTCGAGGTACAATCCTGTATTTTGGAAAAGCTTTAGAAAGACTCTTAGTCTTGACTTACCTCGGTGACAGATCCTCCACTCTTGCTCTTCCTCACCATGGCCTGCTTATGGAGCAACCCCATAATAGCTCGTTTAGGTGAAGTGTCAGTCACCGTGTAGGTGCGACCGTTACCTACTACGAGCAACGGTTGGGTACCTGGCTCTTCGGAAGGAGAAGTTCTGTGGGAGTTCAGATGGACGTCGTGCACCAGACGGAGAGAGCGAGACTCACGGACTGTTGCGTGACCAATCTGAAAGAAAAAAGTGATGTTAATTAATTATCGGAGTAGTAATTCAGGGAGGATTTTGGATCATTTTGGTCGGCTGTCAGCAATTTTAAGGGCAAGCTGCAAAGTAAAAGTACTAATATGTGTAAATCAATGGGCTCTACTATAATCCTGTAATTATGGAGATCATCCTAAAATTTGTGTCCTATTTTGTGGATCTATGTCATATCAGCACGCTGCCAGAGTTTCATTTGCGAGAACTCAATCTCTTTTTGAATAAATGTGCTTTTTCAACTTAGGGAACAGGCGATAGTACGTAGTGTGAAACAAAAAAACCAATTACAATCCAGAACTGCAACTCTCTTAGATGAGCGATCATCAACCAACTACCACCACTCTGTTGTCCAGCCTTTCCACCCAGTGGCTAGCAGATGCTCGCAAGAGCGATTTACTTTTGACGACAAGATGAAAGATGAGAAAAGCTGCCACAACCCACATACCCAGGATAAAAGATGGTTATGCCGTAATCGATAGTCGTAAATGGAAAGTATTCGATCGAAAAACATTAGGTTGTCTACACCCACAGTGTGAGCCGCTTCGAATCATTCCTGTTACGTATCGTTATTGAAATCTTAATATTCCACCTGGTACAACCCGGAGTTAAATTATTCCGAACACACGTCAACAAAGCAACGTTTAAATAATAAATAAGGGTAATATGCGTGAGTTGTCAACGGATCGATAATCGGTAGTCTCTGAAATGTCGGGCGCTGTTATTAAATAAAGTGAAACGGAGGCTTAAAAGCTTTGAAATTAGGAAACTATCGCTATGCACGCGTACCGCTGCAACAGTCTCCTGGAATTATTAACTGCCACTAAAAGCATTGAGTGGTATTAAATGTAAAACCATAGTTGGTTTGGAAACGCTATAACCTTTCCAAGAGATAATACTGGATATGTAACTGTTTTACACATATACCTATGGAATATAGGCATCCGAGAGTGTCTCTTTTGTTTCATCGTAGCAGAATATTACGTGCCAAAAGCACATAACTTTTTTTTTCTATTTTGAACACATAACAGTAATTTGCCAAGCCCTTTTCAATCATTTTTTGCAAATTTTATAATTCATTGATCTATTGAGCTCGTAGCTATCTAATCTTGAAAGTATAATTTCACACATATGTATTATATCCTTCTTTCTTAGCGACTCAGTATTGTGTTTGAGGTCTTTTGGATACTAATGTTATATATATATATATATATATATAACTTGAGACGTGGTCATTGTCGTCTAGACCAGTTAGGTGAAAAATTAAAGCTTCCGCCTTTTGTTGGGGTACTTCGACAAAATTTAAGCAAAGAGGACTCTTTATATTTTTTTTAATTCTCTCTAGCTTTCAATGGACTTTGCCATCATCATCAGGAGCTTGCAATTACAATGATAACAGTAGCAACAAAGTGTAAAATGAATTTAAATTGACTTAACTTACAGTAGTATGTGAGGATGTTGCTAATTGTTGTTTACGTTCAGGATGAGGGAAACGCCCAGTAACATGGTGAACTATATATATATTATGACTTATTCGTTCTATCCCAGAAACTTCCTCATAAAATATCGTTTTCTAGGGGCTGTCCATAGTCAACCAGCGATGTTATATGTATATATGTAGGTTGGTTCATTTGCGGAATTTTTCATTCGTTATTATTTTGGCACACATTTGGTTTCGATATAGTTTTGATATCGATCTGGTGGAGTGTCGAATTTTGGTACGCCTTCCTACATTTGACACTGATTGACAGTCAACTGACTTAAGACCAGAAAGTTTATGTCTGCCCTTTCCTGCTGAAGCCTTGATTGAGAAGGTGCATCGGCCAATCATTTGGTTTCTAAATTTTGGAATATTGGGCCCCAATCACCAGGTTATCGAGTAGCACCATTTTTCTTTTCTACCTTACCTCTCGTAGTTTGTATCGGTTGTTGTTTGGCGCTATACTGTCTAGTATTTATATATGCGATTCTATAAGAATTTTTTTAGAAACGTTTGACAAAATTGAAGAGCAATATTAAATCATTGCCTCAAACGTGACGCCGAACGTTGATAAATATATAGTTTCTATCATATCGATAAAATATTTCGTGGTGTATGAGTAAATAGTTAAACTGCCTCAATAGATGTGCTTATTAATCTTTAGAACAGCAACGGTTCTGTGTAGTTGTATTCCCCACTATTTAAAAGCAATACTATCTTTGGTTGTCGCGCTAGTCCTATCTTAACTTATTTAGCGTTTACCCTAGTGAGAAAAAAGCCCTGCAACATGAGAGGAAACGCCCGTTCTCAGTCGTTCTTTGATCTCCTTAACGAGCTGTGCATTTTTTGTCGCTTTTTCGGTATACACTCACTGGAGGTGCATTCTTAGCCGACAACTTAAAGTGTGCTACATGAAAGGGGAGAGAGCCAATTGTCGTTGAGGTGAATGTAAAATGATGAAGCAAAGTGGGGCGTGATGTTAAACTGACCTACTTTCAGAGAAATAGCTGTGAATAGGTACATACAGGATGGTCAAAGTGTTTGTGAGACAGTTCCGATCAAATAAAAAGTAGCTAAGACAAAAGGTTCAGGGTACGGGTCAAGGTCATTCAGATGTTGAAGTTTTTAAATGGGATAGTATTTTTTGGCCGCACAGATGGAAACGGCAAGATTTCTACGTTCTAAGATGACCTTGACCATAACTTTGGGTCATTTGAAGGTGACAAATTATAATAAAGAATCGTATCTTTTTGACTCTATGGATCGTTACATTTTTATGCTCTTAAATGACCTTGACCATGATGCATTAATTTCAATTTCATGGAAACATAAAATTTGTCGCCCTTTATTTTTCAAGTTGACCTCTAAATGACCTTGAAACCTTGAAACGTAGAGACATGCGAAGTCTTGGTCTAACGCCTCCAAGTTCATCTAAATGACCTTGAACTTCGATTCAACACCATGCCTGATAAAAATCCTGGGATTTCGGTCTTGGCTTTTTTTGGTGATTAGTATTTTCTGAGGAGCGCACAGTTATAAAGAACTTTTTAAAAGTTATAGCATCTTAACAGTACCTGCTCTGGTGACTCCGCGTCAGAGATATACGTATTCCGAAAAAAAAAAAAAACAAATTTACTATCAACAAAGACATACACACACTTGCCAAGAGGCAGAGTAATAATATACACGCCAGATTTTACAGAAGGAAATAAATCGTAAAATATACTGGGTCCCAAGGTCTTTAACATTCGTCCAAAAGATATGCAAGGAATAGCAAATCTAAATCACTTTGAGTATTGTTATAACACAAAAATGTTTGTATACTGTCTAAGAGTTTATCAGTGCGTAAATGTTGTTTATTACTGTGTTATATCTCCGTATATACTTGCTCTATTAACGATTCTTATACAAACTTCCTTTGTCCAACAAAAGTAAATTATTATTATTCTAGCCGTCTATATTCTGTATTCAGAGCAGCTTCGCTCCTTACATTCCTAGCCTCACATACGGCACGTAGAATTTCGTTCCGTTCGAACTTGTTGATCGACGCGCACTACGACCCGTCGCAACCGGCTACGGAATGATAACGGAGTTATGCGAGGCAGGAAACGTAATAACGGCCGATAGATGGCGCTGGCTGTCTCGTTGTAGAACATGCCGCGTGTCGATGCACGTTGTTCGTAGAACGTCGGATTTCGTGCGGAATTCTAATGGAAATTCGGACGGCAATAGGAGGAAGAGGAATATTTGAAAAGGATGCATAGTTGCGTATTTAGTCAATATTTTAGATTCAATCTGTTCTTAAGCGGGCATAATAATAATACTGAGGATTATTGTTATCCATCGGATATGAAAATAAATGTATTGGACTGGCCAGAAATCAATAGTTGCGAGCTAATGAAGTCACTGGTGGCCTAATAACATTTATCAAGCAAATAGTTCTTCAAAGCAGTTGATATGCTCACTGCACTTAATTTCTTGAGGAAGTTTATTATACATTAGCATTAGCATATCGACTAGAAAGCTCGCGAGTTCGAAAAGGGCAAGATTAAAGTGATTATCTGATTCTTATTGTTCTCCAACTTAAGTGAATCACACCGCCGACTTTACGTAATGTAACAAAAACACCGTTTTTACTGTTCAAAATCTAATTTGGCACTCTCACACTTGTAACCAATGACAATGTCGACTGGGCTATGGTGATCCGCGCTCAACTCTGTCCAGTTCTGCCCTTTATGTGTGTATTTATCTTCGAATCGACGAGTCCAGAAGCGTTCTCGCGTCTTCCAGATGAAACTAGAGTTTTCATCGAAACCTGGTAGATAGCGACCGATGCTTTTTAAAATATGGCAACTATAAGAAAACTGGAATCAAAATGACTTTAAGCTGTCCCTTGACAGACCCTTCCAATGTGTAAAATCTTGTAAAGGGCAAACCTAAAGTGATTACCGGTTTCTTATTGTTCCCCAACTCAAGTGCATCACATCGCCGACGCTACGTATTGTAACGAAAACACCGTTTTTACTATTCAGAATCTAATTTGTCACTCTCACACTTCCAACCAATGACAATGTCGATTGGGCTACGGTGATCCGCGCTCAACTTTGTCTAGTTCTGCCCATTATGCGTGTATTTATCTTCGAATCGACGAGTCCAGAAGCGTTCTCGCGTCTTCCAGATGAAACTAGAGTTTTCATCGGAACCTGGTAGATAGCGACCGATACTTCTTAAAATAAGGCAACTATAAGAAAACTGGAATCAAAATGACTTTAAGCTGTCCCTTGACAGACCCTTCCAATGTGGAAAATCTTGTAAAGGGCAAACCTAAAGTGATTACTGGTTCCTTATTGTTCCCCAACTTAAGTGCATCACATCGCCGACGCTACGTATTGTAACGAAAACACCGTTTTTACTATTCAGAATCTAATTTGTCACTCTCACACTTCCAACCAATGACAATGTTGACTGGGCTACGGTGATCCGCGCTCAACT